ACACACACACACACACACACACACACACACACACACACACACACACACACAGAGCATGGGTGTACCACAGTGCTTGTGGAAGTCAGAGGACAACATTCTTTTCACCATGTGAATTCTTGGGGATACAAGCCCAGGTCAGCAGGGGCTCCTTTTCCAGCTAAGCCATCCTGTTGCCTCCTCTGCACCCTTTCTGGATGGTGGTAAGGACTGCACACAAACTAGGCAAGCCCTGTATTCTGAGATATACCCGAGCCCTCTATTTCTCTATTCTGTTCTTTTAATCAACTTTTTTCCAAGCACTGTTTTGATTCCTTTAGTTTTTTAATATATCTGGAAGTCAGGCAGTGATGTTCTTCAAGGCTGTTGTGGCTACTTTGTAAATTCCTTGCATTATCATATAAATGTTAAGGCTGCTTGTCAATTTCTGTACAGAAACCCACCAGAATCCCGAGGATGGTGTCACAGGCCTCTCTAATCCCAGTACTTGGAAGGCAGAGACAGGAGAATTGAAAATTCAAGTTCGAAGTCAGCCTGGACCACACATGGAGGCCTTGCTTTAAAACAAAAAGAGCAAGGGGCTGGAGAGATGGCTCAGTGATTAAGAGCTGTTCTTCCTTAGGACCCAGGTTCAATTCCCAGCATCCACATGGCAGCTCATAACTGTCTGAAATAGCACACCCACACACAGACATACATGCAGGAAAATACCAATGTAAATGAAATAAAAATAAATTCAAACAAACTAACAAAAAGAGCAAACCAACCAACTGAAACAACCTTTCATGAGACTTAGGGCCTCCAGTCGTGGTCAGCTGACTTTGGGGCTTGACAAAGGGGCACATCATGGCACAAGTGCATGATGGGACAAACCACTCACTGTGGCCAGAAATAAAAAGAGGAAGATGAAGGGACCAGGGGGGCACTCTCAGTCATCCCAATTGTGCATGCTGGGAACCAGTCCTCCCCATACATGAGCCTTTGGGAGGGTGTCCAGGAGGCCTTGAGCAGAGTCCTCTTTCTTTCTTTCTTCTAAAGTGTTTTATGTATCCATTTTATGTCACTATCAGATTGTTAGCTGCAATGCCTTGCTTTGTTATTTTAGTGACTATTTCAGGGCATGCAGTCTCAAACGTGGCTCCTCACAGCCTGCCTTCAAATGATATCTCACCTGTATCTTATAACCTCTGAGGGCTGCACCCTCACGTCCCCTTATGTTGTTCAAATGATATTTCACCTTGTATCTTATAACCTCTGAGGGCTGCACCCTCACTTCCCTGTATGTTTGTTTCAGTTGTTGTCACATAGTTACTTATACATTTGTTATAATTCTATATTGTCGTTTTTCTAGGTGGAAAGGTAATAACCTTTCCATATACATTTTGGAATAAGATTGTTTATATCTATAAAAAGCCTTGCTGGCTTTTTTTTTGTGTGTGTGTGTGTGTGTGTCTGTGTGTGTGTGTGTGTGTGAGAAGGCTGGGTTTGAGACCAAGTCCCTCTGTGTAGCTCAGGTTGGCCTCAACTTGCAATTCTCCAGTCTTGGCCTCTGCATGCTGAGGTTTGCAGGCCTCCACTGCCATGCTGGGCTCTGCTGTCAGTGGTAAAGCAACACTCTTTCTCTTTGCTCCCTGCTATTCTTTCAGACTTCCTCCTTTGTTCAGGTTATCAGCCCTTTCCCATCTTAGGTAGATTCCCATTCTTCTTTCTTCCTCCTTTACCCTTTCTTTTAAAACTTTAATTATGGAAAATTCGAGGCATGCACCAAGCTAACTGCTGCAGTGCACGCCTCTGTTCCTTCCAGCAGCTAGGAACTTGTGAAACTGCATTTTTCTAGTGCTTCTACAGAGAAACCGTGTAGAGGGGAACACACAACCCTTTCCATGCTGGGCATATGACAGTTGCTGCCCCTTTGAGGCCATTTATTATCTATGTTAAGATTCATTCAATATGAAAGTTTTAAGAGTCTGCAGGGATTTTCAGTAGTCACCACAAGCTTTCAAATTCTCTCTTCATGTTTTATGTATGGTCCTTAAGTGTAGCCTTTAGCTTTCACTCTGTGCTGTTTAGTCTTTGGTTGATCTGAGCAGACTGCAATACTCATTGAGGTTTATGCCTTCTCTGTGCAGTCCTATATTATATATACACACAGAGAAATCTATCTGTCTGTCTGTCTGTCTGTCTATCTATCTATCTATCTATCATCTATCATCTACATTGTCTCCCTACTTATCTATTTATTGTCATTGTTTATCATCTATATCATCTATCATCCATCATCATCTATCTGCCTATCAATCATCTTATGATCTATCTATCATCTATCACACTCTTTATGTCTCAACTATGCTTAATGACCAAAAGCAAACTAGCCTAAGTCAGTGAGTGGCCGCAGACAGATCCTGGCTCCACCATTTATTAGCTGAACCTCAGACCCAGTGTCCTCATCTGTAAACTGAGCAATACCTACTTCCAGATTCGAG